GAACCCACTGCTGCCCAGTCAATTCCAGCTCACAGTGAGCATGTTGATAGAGTAGAACTGCCCTGCAGGGTTTCCAGGACTGATCCCTGTGGATACAGACGGCCACATCTTTCTTCTGACTAGCCACTGGGGGATTCAGGCTACCAACCTTTTGGTTAGAAGGGAAATGCTTAACTGCTGCACAAATAGGCTCTCAGGCAAGATCAAATAGCTGCCGAGGTCAGCACAATAGTCCTTTGGATAGTACTAAAGCCATTACATTTCTGTGATTTACATTATGCCTGGGAATTTGGAAGACAGTTATTTGCCCAAAGGACTATGAGAGATCCATATCTGATGACCTCCGGAAGGGAACACAGAAGATATGGGTGCTATAGCAAAGTGTGGTGAAGACATCAGATGGTGCCCGGCTATCAGATAAAATATCGTTTGGGTCTTACAAGTTTGTCTTCAATCAAACAGCCATTTAAGTGAGATGTCACTAAGTCCACATGAAAGAAGCACAAAATCAGTCAAGGAAGGACTGTAAATCATAGAATTTGAAGTCAAAGGAGAGATTAGCGTCAGAGCCTAAATTGTGGGAATCCGGTTTTAAGAAGGCTCTGGATGACAATGGGGGCCCAAGATACATTTGTGGGAACTACTTAGAAATAAGCCTCTGGTGATCTCCCTGTTCCCACAGTTGAGGGATGGGAGGAGAATGGTTTCTAAGGAGAGTGCATGACAGAAATGAGTATAAAAGATCAAAGGGATAAACCTGACTTGAACGGTTAAAACCTTGTCAGTTGATCTGTATTTTTGTTTTGTTTTGTTTTTCTCATATTAGTTTATCTCAGATGTGTTATGTCATTTGGTGTCACGCTTATGAATTTGTTTCATGTTTTTCTGGTTTTCGGTATATAAAACCCAGGATTGGTGAACCTGTAGGGACAGAAAGTAGAATAAGGGTTTCGGGGGAAGGAGTGCACGGCTATGGTGGTGGTGGTGGTGAGGGTGGATAAAAGAGAGACGATGTCAAGGAGTCCAGGAAGGAAGAGAATGTGATTGTGGCAGCAATTGTACAATACAGCTTGATGTGATTGAACTATGGAATGATAGGATTGTATGTAATAACTACCAATTTAATAAATAACTAAAGAGATCCCTATCTGTGCTCATGCCAAAGAAAGGCGATCCAACAGAATGCAGGACCTTTATATCATCTGTAAGTAAAATCTGGCTGAAAACAATTCACAAAGCTTTGCAGCAGGTCATCAGCAGGGAGCTGCCAGAAACTCAAGCTGGATTTAGAAGGGAGATCACTATTCATACAATGTTTGTCCTTCTGGGACTGACTAGCTTCACTCAGCATAATGATCTCCAGATTTGTGTATGTCATGTGGTGCTTTGGGGTAGCATCAGTGTACTTTGTCTATTCCATCGTGCGTCTTTGAAATGTTAACAATGTGGTGACACATACAGATCTGGGCATCTGGGATCTTTTTGTGAATAACTTTAGTGGCTTGTGGGTTAAGTAGATTTGGAAAATGCTTAGCTTGTTAAAGCAGGCTTGAATCCTGGCACCAGTATTATTGAATACCTTCCCCCGGCCCCTTCCTGCAGTTTATTGGCATGTAGTATACATATCATATAATTTAGTAGTTCGATCGTTCAGTCGTCTCACGGAGAATTGTGCAATCATCACCCCATTGATTTCCGAGCATTCCACACCCCTCCCCCATGGTTATATTGCCTTTAAGATGAGTTATGCAATCGCAATCTGTTCTGATGCTCCCTCCACCCTCCCACCTTCATTATTTACTACCGAAATCCCCATTCGCTCCCTATCACACACTCACACCCCTGTATTCCCTCTATCTCCTGTATCACTTATTATCATTATGCATCCTGTGCTTCACAACTGGGAAGCCCAGCAGAAAAAAAAAAAGAAAAAAATGTAAATATTCTTTTTGCTTAAAGTTTTTTTTCTATCTTCCTCTTTATGTTATAGATTCGTGCACTTTCAGTGCTTTTGACTTTCAGCCAGAAGACCACTCCCCCCCACCATGGAGTGGCTAACATTTTAGGTGTAAGGAATATAAGGATGAGAGAACATGGAGAGCATGCTGTGATGTGCAGATCCTAGTGCGTCTAAATTAAGCAGCTGTTAGGCAAAAATGAACAGAGGTGGATTTTTCCCTGACGTTGGCCCTGTCTCTTTTCTTTGGCGGTCTTGCAATAGGCTTATGTGTTCAGACCTTAGAAAAGCCCTCCTCAATTGGCACTTTTTCCATCCAGGTAGGGTAGCAAATTGCTTTCTTATGATGTCAAACATCGAAACAAAGTCCTGTTCAGACAGGTGATTCTCCTTTTTGGCAGGGTTCACCTGGTCAGGCAGCTCCCGATTCTGATTTTTCAGTAGGACTTCTATAGGACACTATTTTGGCCCACTGTCCCCAGAACTCACCAAGAGGATTGTGTTGCTCCATGTCAGCTGTGATTCTTAGGATAGCAGCCGTAACACTCAGGTCTTCTCGTAATCGTTCATGTGATTTTCCTGTGCTGTGAATGTGAGGGTCCCAGGCCCTGAACCAGCCCACAAAGTAGGCAGCTCAGAGCCCTGTTTAATGTGTTGACGCCTCGGCCGCTGGAGTGGGTGTGCAGACACTCCTGGGAAGTAGGTAGCAAGGGTTTTCTCAAGCCTAGTCCACAAGAACGCCTGGTCCCAGGTATCCAGGAGCATTGCATCCCAATGGACTGACCGGTCTTAGTGGAGCCCGGGGAGGTGGAGCTAGGCATCCAGAATTTGCTGCTGTAGTCTTTGGTCATGGGCACTGGGATTTTCCCTCCCGGCAGGTCCCCGCCCCAGGCCACCTATCCTCAGCGCCAGCACAGAGGAGCCCAGCGCCCGCTCACCCTCCTCAGTCTCTTATGTCAAGCACTGCTCTGCCTGGGTGCGAAGAGGAAGATGTCTTTGGAGTTGAGAGAGGAAGGTGAAGGCTGGAAGCTTCGCTGCTTTGGTGTTAGATTCCTCATGTCCCTGAATCTGCAAGACCCTCGTCAGGCCCGACATGTCCCTTCCTGGCACTACCACCCTTTGAAGATGGCCCGTGAAGTGGCATGGCTCCTCTTCCACGGTGTCGCGCACAATCTGCAGCACGATCTGTCAAACTGCAGATCCGCCGTCTGGGAGGCGATGCGCAAGATGTCGTGTGACATCCCGTCCACCTTGTCTGTGTAGGGAATCGGCAGTCTCCCCCGATAAAGAAGCCGAACCACTGATGTTCCACGGGGGCCAGCTGCATCCTGGTTGTCAATCTTCTAGAACTCATC